CTCCTCCACGTGGCTACCCCCCACCACCACTGCCACCTGCTGGCCACACACTCTGCCCCATGGCCTCATTTCTTCGGCTCTGGAAGCAGGTGTTCCAAACGGCCCTGGTGAACCCCAGCCGGGCCACTTACTGGCTGAGGATCCTTGACCCAAGTTTGAGTTCTCCGAACCTCAGCCTCTCCAGCTGTCAAGCCAGTTAATGTCTCTCACGGCCACTTCGCAAGGATACGTCGTAGCGTTCGTGTACGGCAAGCTGGAACTCGGACACCATTAGGGCGCAATGTCCCCACAGACATTTCTGGTACCCTGATATCCCTGTCTAGGCCGCGACGCTTCTGTTTCGTAAGAAAGAGACGAAAGGAGATGTTGGACGGGGGCTTGGTCTCAGGGGAGAGAGGCAAGGAGATGACCTAGGGCCCACCTTGTCTGGCCGGGGACTGAGTTGACTCAGATCTGGAAGTGCGACAGCCCGGAGGAACAGGCTTTCTAAGACTGTGGGTGGGAGCGGAGCTGCGGGGCCCAGGGGCAGCCCACAGCATGGGGTGGGGAGGAGCCACGCTGGCCGCTCCGTCTGGAGTGTCCTGGGTTCTGTGCTCACACCTGGGCCAGGAGGCTGGCCTGCCACACAGAGACAGCCACGTTGGGCAGGGGAGTGACACCGACTGGCCGTGAGGGCAGGAGGGGAGGCTGGGTCGGACGCTACAGGTGACCGCTCCAAGGTCCCTGGACAGCCGGGATGCACGAGAGGGCCTTGTTTCTACACATGGACACCAACGCAAGCCAAGATGCCTGCAAGTTCCCGTGGCAGGCCGCCAGGGCTCCCGAATGCCGTCCCAGGCCGCCTCCAGCAGGGGTCAGTACCTGTCCACTCCCACCCCACCGCCCTTCTTCATGAAGCTTCTGTGCATTTAGCAAGTGGCCATCTTTGAGCTGGTCTCTGAAGGAGTCGGGGCTCAAGGTTCCAGGCTCAAAATCCGAAAGCGTACATAGGTTAATTTTTACTTTTCTTTTTCCTTTTTTCTTTTAGTTTTATGCTGGGTCATGTGGTAGCTCTGATTCGAACCTGTCGCGGAGCCCCCCATCCTGTCTCCCATGATCCAGCCAGCCCTCTCGGCCATGAGGAGCACTGGCGTGTGCGAGGCCCTCCCGGCATGCCACACAGTGCTGAGAACACGAGCTGCCCTCCCGAATCTTCCAAGTCCCATCAAAGAGACACCGCTGTTATTCCCTCGTGTGGAGAGAAAACTGCTCCAGAGAGGCCTCGTGCCCTTCCTCCAGGTCAGTGGGTAGAGAGGTCAGGAGTCCGGCCGCTCGGGCCATAGGCCGAGCCCTGACCCACAGCCCTGCGGCATCCCTGTGCACACCCCTTCCATGCCAGCCACACAGACCTGCCCGGCTGCCGTGAAGACCACAGGGACCACCGAGCACCTGGCACCGAAGTGGGCTCTCAGGAGAACAAGGTTGTCCGAGGGCTTCCCACATCTCAGAAGGACCGAGGCGAGGCACCCGGACATGGAGGCACAGCCAGGCGGGGTGGGTGCTGGCTCTGCCCCGGCCCCGAGCCTCTGTCACAGCCCTATGCTGGACCCGCTGCCTCTCAGAGGACCAACAACGCAGCGACCCCTCCCTTGGCTGTCTCTACTCCACTGTACTCGGTTAACTCAACACCCCGTTCTCTGCCTTCTGCAGGTTATTCCGCTGCTTCCAGGACTGGGAAGGACACGCTTGCAGAAAGCGTCCACTATGGAGCGGCATGGGCCCGCACCTCTGGGGACTCCAGTTTCCTGCCTGGAAAGCAGACGGTAATAGTCCCTAGGGGCCAGCACAGACAAGCAGGATGCAAATGGAGCCACTGCTGACTAGGCCAGTGCCCCGCCACAGCGGCTCCTCCTCCGGCGACCCCCCCCCCGGCCCCGCATGAGGACC